CAGAAAATAGAAAAACCGGTCACAAAATAGAAGAAACCGGTCACAAAATAGAAAAACCGGTCACAAAATAGAAGAAACCGGTAACAAAATAGAAAAACCGGTCACAAAATATAGTTATTTGTAAATATGCAGATGTCCTGTAAAATAAAGAAATTTATTTATATAACCCCCCAACAGAAATATGACCCATTCAATCCTTTTCTGAGAAATCTGCGCTTCCGGCCGAAATTTATGTAATTTCCGGCCCCACTTCCGTTCTAAATGGTGTTCTTTGGTTAATTATATAAGATTATATTGGGCGGGTAGATATCCTGTTCTCTGGTAGAAGCTGACCGCTAAATTATCCTTATTAGATGATCCAGTTGTAATACTTTGCCTCACCCTTTTCCTGTTCAACCTTCCCTAATATCCCATATGCAGAACCAAATATCGATCATATCCCCATATTGTAAACAATTAGCCCCTGACACCTACATTCTAAGACTATAAGAGATGTTTTTAGCTCCAGTTTATAACAAGTATCAAAATATCTGTCTTGAAATAATGAGTTCAGAAATGTTAAATTTGCAAAATTCCCTTGGAAAATTAAGCAAATTTTGTGCAAAAAATAATTTTTTGGAAAGATTATTGGCAGAGCATTGAAAAGCTTGAGCTAAAAAATGTTTTTTTAGATATTTAAAAACGGACAAGTCAAAAATTTGTTCAGAAATTTCAGAAATAATTAGTGAAATCATAATTTTCTTTTCAAAGACTTTTCTGATAGAGAGTAAAAAAGTTTAAAGAAATTAAGATACAAAGAATAATAATAGCAATGACATTTTTTGTTTGATATTGTTTATAAATTTTTTTTTCCTATCTATCTATCTATCCATCTATCTAATCTATCTATCTATCTATCTATCTATCTATCTATCTATCTATCTATCTATCTATCTATCTATCTATTATATGTCTATATTATAGCGTTGCTAACTTTTCAATAGATATAGATANTTAATCTAAACCCTTCTAAGATCTGATTTCTTAATCTGTGTTGAAATGATGGCGCTGTATCTCATAGCTGGATATAAACCTACACAAATCCTAAATATACTTAACAGAAACCGATCCTAATGTCAAGTCTCAGTTTACAGTCAAATATTTTCAACACATTTTTCTATTTTAATAAGTTTTCATTCAATGATTAAGATTTAAATTCTCTGTGATTAAATCCGACCACCCGTCCTTCCCTTCCACAATAAACCCTTCCGTGCTTAATCAGAAATCATAATTTTGTAAAAGTGAAACTTTTGGACATTAAATGTGCTGATGTTCAGAAAACTTTTTTCGTAAAGAATTTCTACCTTGTACATGGACTTAAAGAAGATTGTAGATAAATAATACAAAATGAAATATACAATTTTATATCTTAAATCTCAATCTGTCAATTTTCACATGTTTACGCTTTGGTATTTTGGTAAATTTGGTATATTAGAAGTTCTTTAGAGAAGTTTCGTAATTCTTTATTTTCTCTGAGTTAGAGAATCCATTGAGAGTTCTGTTATTTAGTAATCTCTCTGAGCTACAGAATTCACTGAGAGTTATGTTATATAGTAATCTCTCTGAGCCACAGAATTCACAGAGAGTTCTGTTATTTCGTAATCTCTCTGAGCTACAGAATCCATTGAGAGTTCTGTTATCTGATACTCTCTCTGAGCTACAGAATCCGCAGAGAGATCCGTTATCTCATATTATCTCTGAACTACAGAATCCACAAAGAGATCAGTTATCTCATATGCTCTCTGAGCTACAGAATCCACAAAGAGATCAGTTATCTCATATGCTCTCTGAGCTACAGAATTCACAAAGAGATCAGTTATCTCATATGCTCTATGAGCTACAGAATTCACAAAGAGATCAGTTATCTCATATGCTCTCAGAACATTAATTTTCTTAATATTTTTGAAATTCAACCAAATAGGAAACAAAATCTTAGAAATTAATAATTAAATAAAATGTGTCTGTGTACAATGTATGTTTCTTATGTTGAGTGGACAAACAGTCATCTTCCACCTCGACAGTTTAGCCGCTGTAGATTATATTTATTAAAATCCAGATAATGTTCGTTTATTGTTTATTTCAACTATACCTGTCACTGTTTTACTACTAAAAAATTAATTATTTAAAAACATTTTGATGGGCCGACAATGTTTGCACAAAAACTTTAATTTCTAATAATTAGAAAAATGAAGGAAATGCCATTTGTCTGAATAATGACAGACAGATAGACAATAAGTCTGGTAGACGGTATATATAGAGAGGAAAATTAGACAATATTCATTCAACCCC